CATCTCAACCTGCCCCGGGGCATCCCTATTGCAGCTGGGAGGTTCATGTGCTCCCAGCCATGCCGGGTGGCAGAAAGTAAGACCAAAAAAAAGAAAACCCCAAAGATGACAGCAGCCATCTGTGTCTTGCCAGCGGCAAGGAAAGGCTTGAGAGAGGAGGAGACACACTGGCACCCAAAAGCAAAGCCAGGCTTTGAAATATCTGGGAAGCCCCAAACCATCGAGCTGAGTGCTGCCTCCCCCAGGGATGCACCATCCCCCGGGGCATCAGCCTGGGGCAGGGCTGGAAGCGGGGTGCGGGGTTACAGTGTGAGGCTCAGCAGCGTCTTTTCACCTCCTTAATCCCATGACACAGGTTCTTTTATTTTTTTCCCATCTACACACTTACAGGCTGAAACCCAGTTCTACACCCCCCCACCCCCACCCCCAAGACAGGCTGAGCCTGACTCGTGCAAATATTGACAGTAGCCGTTCCCAGGAGCCAGGGAAGCGGCTCCCAGCGCTGTTTGCAGGAGCCGGTGGCGTCTGTCCGGGCGCCGGCTGGACCCGCACCTCCCTGCGGCCGTGGCCGGAGCTGGGCACGGGGCAGGGCTGCGCCCCGGCTGGCTGTCAGCCTTCCCCGGTGGCTCGGAGAAAGATAAAAGCACGCTAAAGTATAACTGAGGGGTTGCAAATGGTTAACTGCTGCGGCTGAAAGGCAACAGGTCGATACTGAGCTTGGGTGCTCGCTGGCTGCCTGGCTCCCTCTGTCTCTTTTATTATGTTTAAATAATGTCCTTTGCTCGGTTCTGACTGTGGTTTCACAGCCTTGAAATAGAAACGGTATTGATCAGTGAGGCTGAGCGTTTACAGACCTCTATTAATGGACTGGAAAACCCATCTGTGCTTGCTGCCGGGGCTCCGTGCCTGCCCCGATCGCTGCCCGCACTGGCAGCCACCAGCCCCTTTGCAGGATGAGGCCGTTTAAGCCCCCTGGATGGGCTCTGCGGGGTCCCCCCTCCCCACCCACTGCCTCTCAGGTGGTGACACCCGGCTCCACAGGCACACCGATTCACCCATAAGATGGTTCTTTCCCTAATCCCTCTCTGGCTGGTGCTCTGCTGCTGTCCACACACATATGGAAACTCTCTGGACTTTGCTTTCCAATTTTGGCCATGGAGAAGTGACCTTTCACATTCTCCCTCGACAACATCACTGTCACCATGGGAGCAGCTGGGCCACCAAGCCTTCAGCATCTGGGACTTGGTTGCACATCACAATCTTTGATCTCTCAGAAAAATGTCCCAGACACTGACATGACAGGAAAACTGGCTGGATGCTCATGGTCAGTCCAGCCCTGCTCCGCTTCCAGCCCACAGCTGCAAGGCAAAAAAAGAGGGGTTTTCCTCCCTCCCTTCCCAAACCCAGGCCTTATTCGCCTGGTGCAGGGCTGCGGTGCAGGCAGGTCTCCGAGGACTGCACCGGTCCTGCAAAGGCCAGCAGTGCTCGGCTGCCTTCCAGAAAAAAAGCTGCACCTGCACAAAGGGCAAAGGCTTTTCTGTGAGAAGGACGGGCTCAAGGGCAGCAGAGGCTGCTCGTATCGCTGAGAAGCATCCTCAGTGCTCTGATGCTGCAGGCCCGTGTCCAAGCACGACAATCTATGCTATAGGGGGAAAAAAATGGTATTTAAACCGAAAGGCACCGGGTTTGAGGTTTCCCAGCCTGCGGCAGTTTGTGATGCTTGAGGAAAGGGCACCCCCCCCAGGGAAGAGGTGCATTAGAGGGGATCAGCCCTGTGCTGCCATCCCCGTGCTGTTTTGCCTTGTGGGACCAGCCTGGATGCAAGAAAAGATGACACCGTCCCGGGAAGAGCCTCTTCATCATCACGCAGATGCCTCTGCTGCAGGTTCGTGATGGGGCACTCGGCAGCAGGGAGGGAATCGGCCCCGAGCAGCAGCTGAGGGGGCCCCTGAAGCTTCCAGGGTTTAAGGCAGTGGGGCAGAAGGCGAAGGAACATGCCACGGGCACATCCTGGGGACCCATGGGGAGCCCTGCCCTGTCCCTGCTCTTCCCGAGGGCCCACAGGTGACTGCGATGCCCTCCATGAGGTTGTACCGCAGCAGCAAGCCTGTAAAAAACCCTTGCTTTCCCCAGGTTTTTCTGGGGAAATACAGCACGGTGGGAGCTCCGTGAGTCCCGCCAGCAGCGCACTGCATGCACCCCAGCCGTGGCATGGGGTCACGGGCTCCCACACCCCCGACCTCTGGTTTTGATGAGACTTTTTTGGGTGTTGCAGGACTGATTCACAGCAGCACTTGGGCGTGAGGCAGGTGCCTCCCACGGGTGGGTGCTGGAGAAAAGCCCACGGGCAGCGCTGCCTGCGTGGGCCCTGCCTGCCGCAGGCAGCACCGGTGTGGCAGGACTCCCCGAAACCTCCCGCCCTGGGCTGCCACGCTCGCACCCGGGGGCTGCCCAGGCTGCGGCGAGGGCCGAGTGCCCCCAGTGATGGGGAGGAGGAGGAGGGGAGGGGAGGAAGGGCGAAGTGAGCCCCCGACCCCGGCCCGTCCTTGGCCGCGGGCTGAGCTGCCCCTCCAGCCCTCCCTCCGCCGCAGCCCGCTCCCGGCGCGGCGGGACCCGGAGGAGCCAGGCGGGAGCATCCCGACCTCCGTGCCCGGGGCTGGCCGCGTCCCGCCCCGCGTGTCCTGCAGC